ATACAAAACCGTTGTTTTTGTAGTTCAGAAAACAATTGAATATTGGCAATTTCATATAGTTTGACTAACACACATACATATACATACAAATTCTAAAATGAGAAAAAATCTGAATAGTTGATCCCTTTGTGAAATTATGAGTGATTTCATTTTATTCATAATTTTTAGCATTTTAATCATCAAAAATTAATTTTTAGTATTTTGAAATCAGAAAAATATATGTCAGTATTTGTCACTACCAAGTCTTTTCTTCAGCAGTGCCATAAGGCTTGAAATAAGCTAAGCCATCATAAATCATTAAAGGATTCCCTTTAAACATAACTACTGTGCGGTAGCCATTTTATTTATTAACACCTTAGCAAAATGATTAGCTTCCAGGAATGTGAAAGTATATGACCAACTATTAAATATTGATGAGTCAGGAAATGGCAAAATAATATCCTAAGCAAAATGCCTTGCCTGGGGGAAAGTTATTTTAGGAATGGTACTAGGGTAGAATGTTCAAGAAAGGGGCATAGGGCCCACAAGGAATTCCTAGAAAGCTGCTTGGAGACTAAAAGAAAGATTGGCTCCTGGAAGGAAGATAAGGCTTTGAAACCACATACATCTCATGTTGCTTTGAACCAGCCACACATTGGTGGCTAATGGAATGTGGTCCTGGTGACAGATTCCTATGAAGCAAAGGCAACAGATGCTGGCTTCACTCAAACTCATCTGGGTTGGTTTGGTTTGGTTTTCTAAAGAGAAAAATCCCCAAGACCAATGTATGGAAGAGACAAATATTACTTTCAACAGAGCTCTTAAAAGTAAATACTTATTGCTATTTTTGCAAGGCATTAGTGTCATGTCAATAATAGAAAACATTTGCCTGGATTTCAAGAATACCACAATTTCTCTATGATGAGAAAACTCTTTGGGGGTTTTCCTTCTTAATCAAACTTCCATCCAAAGCAATGGATGTCTGTTGTTTATGATAAGATCTATAATTCTGGGAGGTTATGAAAAATGAGGAAACGATTTGGCTTGAGGAGCCCTGTTTGGAGACTGCAGGATTCATTTTAGCAGCTGATCAGTGCCTCTCCTCAGCCCTCTAGCACATGAAACCAGCCATGGAAGTGGTCTTTTATACCAGGCTTACCTAGTGGGGGTTGACCATTCTCATGGACCACCCTGAACTTGGTCACGTGACTTGCTTCCACCAATGGGACAGCAGCAGACCTGATGCAAGCAGACATGCACACGTTCTGGCTCCCTCTTCTGCCCCTTCACCTTCACCTTGAGATCATGCCTAGAATACCTGCTGAAGCTGAAGGCCCAGGGAACAGACATGTGACTCGGTTGCCCTGCTTGAGGCCCCAAGGCCAAATAAGATCAACAGAGCCATCTAACCACTGATAGATAATAGATCAAAGATAAATGCTTGTAGTTGATTCCCACTGAATCATCCATATGGCAGCTTTAGAGTACCAAGACATGTAAGTAGAGTCATATTTGTAGTCATATTTCACTCCTTATTTCTCACCAACACCTACCAGTCTTATCTTACTCCACCAAAGTCCTGCTGATGCTGTGATTTATATAATTTTTTTAGTGAGTTATGAGACAATAAAATTATGCCATTTTCAATTGCTTTATTAGGAACTTTCATGGAATCAGAAGAAGAGAATTTATACATTTCTCACCTGTGATATATCGACAAGGACAGACTGCAAGATGATAAAACTTGAAAGTAACTCTGCAGTACTGGGTTTGATGAGTAGTAAGAAACTCCGCCCCTGGCAAAGGCAGGAGGAGGGGCCCAGTCAGCCTGTTACGGGTTGGAGGGGGAAGGGGGTCACAGACAAGCCCTGATATCAAGGAGGTCAACCTGGAGGACAAGGGGGAGATGTCCTGAGGTGAGCAGGCACTGGATGGTCGGCAAGATTCTAAGTGCATCCCAGAGACCAGAGACCTTGGAAAGGTTGATGGCATGACAAAGAATGAAGACAAGTGACACAACTGTGTTTTCAGGAGTATTGGCAGGACAGAGTCCCCAGCCCCAACAGGGTGACAGACAGAGACTTCGTTTTAAGGCAACAAAGAAGTAAAACTTAGCCTGACTTGGCATCTTCTGGGCAACAAAACAGAAACTGAGTAATTTGAACAGAATTTGGCCAAAGAGGAAAAAGAGAAGTATGTGATGATGCCAAGCACCCTGAGTATTCAAAGTCAAGTGACCTTCCTTTCTTTCACCTTTGCAGATTTGTAGCAGGAAGAAAATGATAATATGCTTCTTGTTCTGGGCTTGAAAAAGCAAATCAGCATGCTGGTTCAGTATTATTGGGGTAATTTTTTACATTAAAAAATATTGATTTTAAATATCTATCATATTTTTTAAGCAAAATAACAATCTACAGAGGAATTCCAGCATTTTCCAAATTGTATGTAACACGAAGTCGTACTTATGCGGACTCAGTCTGAAGACAGTTAAACGAATTATTCAGAAAATTCAGACTCTTGAAAACCTTTAAGGAATGAAAAAAAGCTCTGTTTGGCCTACATTATTCCGGTTGACTACCTAAATTGATCAAATTCATCCCTCAACTTTATATCTCATTCTGCTGCACGTATAAACAAAATCCTACTTGTGGTTGCTCTAATTGCAGGCAATGAGCTCCAAAAACCAACTGAAGAGTCATGCAGTCAGATCTTTCTAATTTAATACCTGCAGGCTTTCTAAAACTGGAGGCAAATTTAAATCTAAAGTTAAAGCATAGCCCCCGGTAGGCTTCAATTACTAGACCCATGTGTGAATGTGTGCACACACACGCACTCTTTACTGCAATTTATTACAAGAAGTACATACAATGTACCTTGCATAAAAATTCCCTGAAAACTATACATCTGATTCATAATTAGTTTTTCTTCATAAACCGGGCTATAGATTAATCTAATTGTGTTGCCTACATTCGAATTTTAGCTTTTATTTGCTTCTGTTTGCCTTACTCCAAAGTCTCAAACACATATATCAGCTTTATCTGCTGTGGGCAGGTAGAGTTTGAGGCCATCACTCAGCAGTTTAGAACACAAGAGAAGCCAAGCTGAAGCTTCCTAATGTAGATGAGAGCAACAAAATCAGAGAAGGTACCCTCTATTCATGAGAAGACATTTATTTGAACTTCCTTAGCACTCCTGAGGTCATCTTTTTCTCTAGGAAATTAAAGGAAGGCTCAAGGAAAACCTAACACGACATGTTCTAAAATGGACGACATAGAATCCAGAGAATCATTTCTTCCTGAATTGAAGAGTTCCTGTAAAGGGTATCTTTTCCTTAACTTCTGTGTAAGCAGACTGGTTGTACAGTGCTCACATCTCAGAAAATACCAGAGGAGCCAGGCAAATCCCATTGTTAATTAAATGTATTTATTTGGTCACTCACACTACTCATATTAAAGACAGGCAGAATCAGGCCTTCCCATGGCTCTATTCTTACTCCCAATCTGCCTTGTCCATTAAGAAATCATGTTTTTGATAAATTCCTATGATGCAGGTGATCTTGACTCTTATTGTTGCAAATATGTCCAAAGTCATGCCCTGGTTGGCTCCCTCCATCTTGGGCCCTCTCCATATTTGTACCCTGTGATGTCTATGTGAACATGGACTGAATGAGCCAGATCTTTGTTCTTAACTTTTGATTGCCACCGTCTGACGTGCTATGCTGAGGCTTTTTTCCTTTCCCTTCCCAATTACTAGCTCCTGTTGTACTACCAGACTACAGTGCTGTCAATATCATTTGGGACTGTTTTAATTCTTCACAGCGACCAAAGTTATCAGTGTCTGGAACCCTGAGCAAGTGCAGCTTGAAACAACTCCTCATCACCAAAGTCAAGTTCATGTAGAGTGAAGAAAAGCAGGAGAGACATCCTCAAACAATGTAATGACACCCAGGACAGTCTGATGCTTCTTCCAGAAGGGAGTAGAGCAACACTCCACCCTTTTTCATAGAAACTTTGGTATATGATGCAATCTCTGGATGAATCTGGATACCCTACACCAGTCATCAAACTGCTCACACCCTGGAATGACTGGTGACATCGGACGTTCTTTGAAGGCATCACCACTGCAGGCCAGCATCCTGCACAAGGCATCACACAGTAAGACCTCAATAAGCATTTGTTTACTTAGTCCTTTCCTGTAGAAGATCCACCATTAGCAACTGACATATTCTGGATTTTTTGGCTTGATAGATTTTTATTTTTTTGTGAGTTGTTTGGTTTTAAGTCTATTATTTTGTTTTTCTTATTAGAAAAGTAATATGTATTCACTTCAGTACATTTGAAAAATATATTCATGTTAAGGTACACCCGTGTATATTACTCACATTTTCACTAAAGTATCATCACATTTTGATGTGTCATTAAATAGTCATCTACAGCATGGTTAGTAGCTGCATAGTATTCCCTTACTTGGAATATCACTATTATTTTATTCAATTGTCATTGTTACCAAGTAGAACAGTGTATGTCTCAGAATAATGGCTTACTATGTATTTTTCAATGAATAAGTGAATTAAATAGACATTTAGTTTTTCTCCATTTTCCTCTATGAAAAATAACACTGCCACGAACATGTTTATGGTTGAATCCTTGGGCACATACCTAAGTCATCCATTGGATGAATTCCTAAAGATTAAAAATTCTGGTCAAAGAGTAGAAATTTGCTGGGTTTTAATCCCATCATTTAAAATTTTCTAGAAATGACTAAGCCTCCTCCTCCACACACACACAGAAACAATCCACATTATTCAAGGTGACAACTGTTTGCATCCCTCTGTTTAGCCTTACAATGGGAAAAAAAAATCTAGCCCTCTCTCTTCTTGCTTCATAAGAAGAACCTGGACCTAAGTGATTAGAGCATATGATTACAAGGACATGAATCTATTAGGCATGAAATAAAATGGGTCAGGAAAATATCCTTTTATTTGATTCACCAGGGGCCAAATAGGAATAATTACAGGCTGTGCAGTACTGTCCAGTCACATAAGTGACTAAATTGGATCGTAATGAGTGTTTTGTGTCCTTCCAATTTGGCCATATGGCCCGTACTTCCTTTGAGCAAGTGCAGTGAAAGATAGACTTCAGTCGCAGTGTCAGTATCGTCTTATGATCTACAGGTTGCCAGGGACAGAAGAACGTCATCCTCTTCATCTGCCTCCCTTCAGACAGGACTACACTTAAAATTTGCTGCAGAGGATGTATCCTGCTGTAAAATGCTTTCCTGCAAGGAATTGAAAGACAATATGCATATCGGGTAACGGAAATGCCCCAAATATTATTGAGACATATTTGCAAACGTGATATTTAATTGCAAGCTTTTCCTTTTGTGTGGCACTCACATAATTCGAAAATGAAATCCTAAACACCTGGAAATACCATTAGCAAAGTGCTTTATGATATGACCATAAATCCCTGTTACCAACAAACTCAAGTTCAAGTGTATTTCTTGTATTTCTATAGATTCTTTCAGTGAATACTAGAGCTGTTCCTTAAGACCATTATTTCCTAAGCATCAGCATGACTACTGAGATTATCCACTTCAATTAGACATGGTTTGTCAAAGGGGTTCTTTAACACACATGTTAAGTGGTCATTTTCAACTTACATTACTGAGACTGTGCATGTATACCTACAGTATCCAGAATCAAACGTAATATAACACATTTTCATTCCTTCCCCACTTTTATCATGCTGCTAGGTTTTTTTTTCATTACACAATGACTTGTTGACCTAGAATTTTATTTTTTCGAGTACAGAAAATCTTAACAACAAAAATAATGACTCTAAAATTACCAAACGTAATTATGGGAACTATTTGATCTTAACATGTGAGAGACACATCAAAGGATGACAACCCAGGCTTCACAGGATAGAGACTTCTGGGAACAATTATTTCTGTTGTTAAAAAGGAGAGGAGGGGGTGGAGGCTGAAGAAAAGAATTATCTGTTTCTCTTTCATTTAGATATCATTCATAATTGAATGTATGTATTGAAAGACAGTTTTAAATGTGCAAAACTTTATTTCTCTAAGGACATTCCATCATTTAATTAATAAATAGGTTGTAATAAATATGGTCTTATCATTAAACTATTCATGGGTGCAATAAAAGTAACAGGGTGTTACTGAAATGCTACAAGATGGCAATTGTAGATGCACATTTCATCTAGGGAATAGTCACATTGTCAGTGGGAATGTGACCTTTATTTCCTAAGTCTTTGAAAATGCCTTCTTTCGACCTATAAACATGTCTTCAGACAAACCAGTTCAGAAGACAAGATACAATAAAAAGCGAATAAGATTTGCTGTGCCTGGGTGGCTCAGTCATTTAAGCATATGACTATTTCAGCTCAGGTCATGATCTCATAGTTCATGAGTTCAAGCCCCCCATCAGGCTCTGCACTGACAACACAGAGCCTGATTGGGATTCTCTCTCTCTCTCTCAAAAATAAATCAATAAACTTTTTTTAAAAAGGCAAACAATACTAGTTTCCATATATTTTCTTCATAAACTCAGTGAGGTCAGTTGCAAGGAGAGGAAATCAAGCACTGAGTGCTCAAATATATTGCCCAAAGTAGTGGAGAGGAATTTAAAACTGGAATGTTGGATTCCTAAACACCAGGCAATAATATTAAAATCTGATTTGTAATATTTGATTAATGGTTTTTCCACTAGCCAATTTGCTAAATGAATTACCCTTCCTAATGTTACAGAGATTAAAACTGCCTGCATGACCTTGGGCAAGTCACCTTAGCTCCCTGAGCTTGCCTAACCTTATTTTTAAATGGGACCTTTTCAAAATTTTTTTAATGTTTATTTATTTTTGAGAGAAAGAGATAGAGTGGGAGTGCGAGACTCAGAATCCGAAGCAGACTCCAGGCTCTGAGCTGTCAGCACTGAGCCCAACGCAGGGCTTGAACTCACAAGTGGTGAGATCGTGATCTGAACTGAAGTCGAACACTTAACTGACTGAACCACCCAGGTGCCCCTAAATGGGTCTTTTACGTATCTATGTATAAGGTCTACCAGATGATCTTAGAGATATATTCCAGGTCTGGGATTCTATGTTTTTGTAATATAATATCAGTTATTTGATTAGTCACTCTACACAGCTGAATCACTGACTCTGTCCACATATTGTTTCCATTTTCCTAAAACATTGAGCCATGGTTTCAAATAATATAAAGCTCTATAGATTACCATTATCTACAGTCACAAAAAAGTTTTAATATATCATACTATAGAGGTGCCAAATTAAGCCAAATAGAATGAATTTGAGCAACTGCGAAAGAAATCGTTACAGAGAGAGAACCTAAAATACACCTTAGTGATTATAGATTTTGCAAGGGAATGGTTTGCTTTAAAGAGAAACCATGGAAATCATAAAACTTGATAAACTCTCCTTAAAATAGGATGGGAAGATTTATTTTCCAAGCATGGTCTTGTGGAATATTTTCTAATTAAGGGCATCATTGTATTAGTCTGTTTTAAATGAATTGTTTTCTCACTAATGTAGGTGAAACCAAAGACAAAATTGATACTGGTTCTTCAAAGCCAGAGCCCATTTCCCCATCGCCCCTTCCTAGGGGTGGAAGAACAGGGATAAGATATTAGTTCCACTGTTCAGTGCCTTGTCAAATATCTCACAGCACATTAGTGACCAAATCTAGAAATAGAACCCTGGAGGTTTTGGTCTTTCTTGACAAATATAATCACTACCAATCATATTTTTCCCAGTTATTTTTGAAGAATAGGTAACTCTTGTACATGATCACTCCTCCCTACCCCCATACAAAAAGGCATTTTGTGATTCATGGGTTAAGAGTATGCAGTTTTGACACTAACCAAATGTTTCACATTCCAAACAAACTTATGAGTCAACCGAAGACCTTAAGTTGCAGCAACATGGAATGGCCTTCTGGGTCTTTTGGAGACAGCTTTCTTTTCACTCTGTGTCTGAGAAGGAATGTTGCTTCACACCTCCCTTCCACCCCCCTCTGATTCTCTGGATTTGGCCAACAGGGATGAGAGGGCAGCGAGCAAAGGATCAGAAAAGAGGGAGATTATCCCAGAAGTCTATCCCGTGTCAAGACTCTGACTGTGAAGCCTCTATAGATAAAAACTAAGAGTTCAGACTACAGATCAGACTGACCTGGAGTGCTAGCTTTCCACTGTAGATCTTTTCCTAACTGCGTGACCCTGGGTAAGACTTATAATCTCTCTAAACCACAAGTTCCTTATTCATTACAAGAAAAAAAAATAGGGAATAATTATAAAGCACTCATGGGTTTCATGAAGGGATAAATTAAGATAGCATATATCAAAGCTAGCACAGTGTTGGGCACCTAAGTCATGGATATTCATGATAAAGATTACATATTGTTGGGGCACCTGGGTGGCTCAGTTGGTTAAGCATCCAACTTCTGTTCAGGTCATGGTCTCACAGTCTGTGAGTTCAAGTCCCTGTCAAGCTCTGTGCTGACAGCTCAAAGCCTGGAGCCTGCTTCAGATTCTGAGTCTCCCTCCCTCTCTGCTTTCCCTTGCTTGTGCTCTGTCTCTCTGTCTCTCTCTCTCTTTCAAAAATACAAATGAGCATTACAAAAAAAATTTTTAAGATTACATATTTTCATGAATGCTCCAGGTCATTGTGCATTTTATGCCTTTTGAATACACAACAGCGACTTCAATTAAGGGGTTTGTCTAGAGGGGCTGTTGTTCTCAGTGAAGAATTAATGTTGAAGCCTTGTCTCGTATTGCACTAATATCATATCTGTATTTGTTTCCTAGGCTGCAATAGCAAAGCGCCACAAAATGAGTGGCTAAAAACAAATTTATTCTCTCAGTTCTAGAAATGAGAGGTCCAAAACCAAGGTGTCAGATAGGCTTTGCTCCCCCACGAGTCCAGGTAAAATTCTTCCTTGTGTCTTGTAGCTTCTCGTTTGGCCAATAATCCTTCGGGTTCCTTGGCTTACAGCTGCCTTGCTCCAATCTCTGCCTCCACCCTTGACCTTCTCATTGTATCTGTGCATTTGTGTTATCTCCTCTTCTTATAAAGATACGTGTCATATTGGATTAGGGACCCACAATACTCCAGTATGACCTTACCTTAACTAATTACAATTGCAACAACCTTATTTCCAAATCAAGTCACTTTCTAAAATACTGGGGTTTGGGTCTTCGATATCAATTTTTGGAGGACACGATTCAACCCATAACAATATCTCCACCTGGACCACTGCAGTAGCTTCTTTCAAAGGCCTTCCTTCCCCACCCCTCTGCCCATCCCCACCACCACCTAGACTCTAGTCAAAACAGATCAGCAAGAGAGGGATTAATAATATGGATTATAGCAAGTATTATGAATTCATTTTTAAGTACTCCTAATAAGCCACTGAAATTAATCAAGCCATGTTCAGTATTTTAGGATTTTCTCTGGATCATGCTGACAATACAGCCATCTGTCATCATGTCATATTTTGATTGATTCATTTGACAATAGTCTCTCATTCTAATTTAAAGCAAATAAGAAACAAGCCCTGACCAGGACTTATACTGTGGACATCAACCATTTGGGGGTCAAATACTACCTATAATTAGATCTGTTACTGATTCTTTGAGAACATTTGGCAAATCATTTGTTATTTTCATATATTTGAAATTCATAAGGGCAATTAATTATCAGTTAACTGAATAGATGCCTGAAATGTTGGGACTCCTCACTTAAAATGTCATGGTATCATCTTAAAAACCTTCAAAAGGAAACTCTTCAATAGTACTCATAACTCTTAAAATGTTATTTTTATAAGAAGTAACCTGAGAAAGACTCTGCCTATGACACTGCATTAACTTTATATCAGAAAACTTAAAATAATTCTTTCTTCAAGAAATTATTTTCAATTTGTTTAACAATTGATGTCTTAATATTTAGCCAGGAACTTCTGTTCAATGAATCCATCCAGCCTAAAATTCCCAATGCACATCAGTTCAGATACCAAGTGCTGACTGCCATGAACTATATGCTTTCTGATCACAGTACAAGGATGAAGCATTCAGATCCTACAAAAGAAAAAGCTCACTATGAGAAAAAAGTCAACTTCCATGGAAAGGAAGCCCACAGACCATTAGAGTTTCATGTGATTTGTGTAGTAACACCTCAGTGAAGCACAAGAATTGCTTCACATTCAGCGAGTTCAAAGTTCTCCACATCACACCAAAACTACACTTAAAAATGTCCTACGGAAATAATGAATGAATGCCTTTCCAATTATTTTCTCACAAGGCTCAGTAATAAAGTAATTATGGAAACCACAATATGGATTTTTCTTTTAAGAGGCTCACACTTGGGGCTCCTGGGTGGCTCAGTCAGTCAAGCGTCCGACTTTGGCTCAGGTCATGATCTCATGATTCATGGGTTCGGGCTCTGCATCGGGCTCTGTGCTGACAGCTCAGAGCCTGGAACTTGTTTCGGATTCTGTGTTTCCCTCTCTCTCTGTCCCTCCCCTGCTCACGCTCTCTCTCTCTCTCTCTCTCTCTGTCTCTGTTTCTCTCTCTGTCTCTCTCAGAAATAAATAACATTAAAAAAATGGAAACCTTTACAATAAAAAAAAAAGAGATTCATACTTGACACTTCCGTGTTGGGATGGTCACTTTCATATCTATATACATGTTGTCTCGCTATCCTGAAACTTTCTTCTTCACATCAGCAATACTGCCTCTATAAAGATATAACACTTTAGATGCTTCATATGTGCTAGACAATATTCTAGGACTTTACAAAAATTCATCATTTAATTCTTCCAACATCTTAAGAAGGTGGTTACTATGATAATCTTCATTTTCCAGATGAGTAAGCTGAGCTGTCTGAACCCAGGCATTCTGGCTCCAGAGCCTATAGACCCTTAAACATCATAGCATCTTGGCTCTAAGTATCACTGGCCAGAACACTTACACTTTGACTATATCTAATAGGCATCTCCTCACCTTTAAAATATCTGAGAAACAGGGGCTTCTGTGTCAGTTGGTTGAGCTTGATACTTTGGCTCAGGTCATGGTCTCATGGTCCACGGGTTCATGCCCTGCATCTGGTTCTCTGCTGACAGCTCAGCTGATTAGGATTCTGTGTCTCACTCTCTCTCTCTGTCCCTCCCCCCCTCTCAAAAATAAACATAAAAAAATGAAATATCTGAGAAACCTTTTTTTCTCCCAACTCTTACATTTCCCATAATTTTTCTCATTTCTATATGCACTGGTATCAATTCTTTCAGCTGCCCAGGCTGGAATTGAGACTGGTCCTCAAATTCTCTCCTTTCCTCACACCCATCTTCCCATCCATCAGCATTTCCCTTCTAGATATTTTTGGAATCTAACCACATCTCCCCAACCACCACATACCATCTTCATTCATGTATCTGCTAGTTTTCACCTGGACCATTGCAGTAGCCTCTTCAAATGCTGACCTGCTCCACCTACCCTGTCCCTGGGACATATACAAGCATACATGCACTAGTGTAAACTCTGCAATAAGACAGGCTCGTTAAAACAAAAATACAGATAATGGCCGACCTTGCCTCAAACCCAGCAGAGTTTCCCTTCCCGTTGTAATGGATGACCAGTCTATGCCCCCACTGAGAGACAGACCCCTTGCTCACTGGGTCCCATCTCCCTTTCCTCACCCAGACACCTTGCTCCTGTGATTCTCCCCTGTCCTAGATCATTACTTGTCTTCCTCCCTAGATTCCATCAACAAAGCTGTCCCAAGCAGGTCTTTAATGACCACCATTTTCCTGTGTCCGGTATACCTTGAAAGTAGAGTCATTCTGTAAAACACTGTTCCTAGTCACTCTCTAACATCCGACTTATTTTAATGGAACATATCACAAGGTAAAATTCAATTATACATACACTATTTATCAGCCTGCGTATTACTTGACCCCATCTGTGGATTCTAAGCTTCATGAAACAGGAACTCTTCTTCACAGATCTAGAAGGGTGACTTGTATCCAGCAGACACAGCATAAACATCTTGGAATGAATGAATGAATGAATGAATGAATGAGGAACTGAATGGATAGATCCTACTCTTCTTTCCATGTCTTTTCTTCACTATAAAGGAAATGCTTTATCTGTGATAAGGGTCTGAGCAGTATCAAACATATTTCTTGGATCTTGCATATATCATTCTTATTTTAATGGATATTAGTAAATTCTATTAGTTTATTAGACACCAAAATAGTAGCTATATGTACGTACCACTATTTGATATAAATGCATTGTCAACCCTGAATTGTATTACTTTACTCACCTTCATGAATTATTCACTTTATGTCTGAATAGTTGAATTCACCATCTCCAATTCCCTCTGCAATCAATGATCAACACCATGGTTTCCTTGAACTCTCTCCATTCCTTTTTTGAAATCGCTTTAAATTCAAGTTTTATTATCTGCATTGTTGCAAACCCTTTTGGCAAAAGGCTTGAAAGAAACAAATTCATGTATTTAAATCTATGTACTATCTCTTTTCAAAATCTCACTATTTGTAACCTCCCCAACCTGCCTAACAATTATATACATCTCTGAATGTGGCTTTAGGGGCCCTTTGTTCCCGAGACTACAAAAGCAATTACACTTTTAAAACGCTACTGCAAAAAACTAATCACAATAAACAGAATGAAATGTCATTCTGAATGACAGGATGGAGCTTCAGAGAACATCAGTATTCACATGGCAAACCCCAATTTGCTGAGCCCACCAACAGGTCGCCCGGTTCTCCCTACAGTGTTGACAAATACAATTGCTGAGGCTGCTGGGCTATAATAAGGAGATCTTGAAAAGAGGTTGGGAGAAAGCTTGTAATGATAGTATTTGGAGTTTATTGCCATCCAATAAAAATAATCGCCTGCTCTGCCTGCAAAGTCCCAGCTGACAAAGCCATGTGGCCTTATGTAGCTTTACTCTGGGAAACCTTGTAGAGGGCCAACCACAGATTGGCAAGAGAGTCCCACCTTTCTCCTGGGGTCTAGAGAGAAATGGCGTCATGACTTCTAAGGAAAGACATTCCTGTCTGTCACGTAGGATATGTTCAAGACCTGATGGGAAAATATCAGGACAGCAATGCCTTGTGTTCTGGGAAGAAGCTTCTGGGGTGTTCCTCACTGAATGAATAATGTCTGGAGATGTGCTGTACAACATATGCCTATAGTTGGCAATAGTGTGTTGCGCACTTAAAATTTTAAGAGGGTAGATCTCGTGTTAAGTGTTCTTATCAAACACACGAGAAGGGCCATAAGGAAACAAAAACAAACAAATAAATAGCAAGTTTCTACTTGAGTGAAAAGCACTGTTTCTGAACCTAGCTCCTCTCTGTGAAGAGCCCGTGACAAGACACCCTAACTAAATGTCAGGGTGCCCATTCCTGGAGGCAGCTGGGAGAAGACTGAATCCTAGTCAATGTGTGATGTAGAAAGGCTAGAGGGATGCCATCACAGCGTGCTCATGGGCCGTCCAGAAGATCAGGGACTCTCCTCTGTCACTCTCTTAAGGGGCAACTGAATGCCTGATGAATTCACGCTGCCTACATCATTGGACCTGCTCTCCCAGGAAGTGTTCGCACAACTGAAAGTGGGAATTAGTTTACAGAACAATCTGTCTTCAACACAGGCCATGTGTCAACACACACTACTACAGTTCTGGTAAAGAAGAAAACAAGCACACTGTTTTTCAGGCAGTGACATGACTGGGTATTTTAGCTCTTTGAAATACTCAGCCGTTAAAATACATGTTTTCAGTGTCTCTCGTAGCAACAATGGTCCTCAGACATCAAGCATTTGGGGGATTTCTTCATCAATTCCCTCAGGACAGGAGATGATCTCAGACATAGGGCTTATAGCCCCCTCCAGCCTCCTAACATCCTCTCTCTAGGCGACCTCATCCATCTGGTTTAAATATTGAGGTTCTGAGTATAGTTTGCTTGTTTTTCTTATTCTGAAAACAATTGTCTCGTGATGGGTGCAGGAAAGAGCAAAATTTTAGCAGTCTACTTCTTCCTGATGCGGATGCCTCTCTTAGACACACAGAACCTTACTTACCCTCAGGGACTTCCGTGCAGATCCATATATTGAGATTCATAGATAACAATAAGATTTGAAGCAGAAAAACACTATTGGAAGTGTTTATGTGATTTCTGTTACATAAGATGCTGCACTCTGGTCTTGTGCTGAGTATCAAGTAAGAATTAAACAAAAGCAAGCAGGATTCTTGGGATCAGCTGGGTCACATAGCCTTATAGGGAAAAGAAAGGATAATTGGGCTACATGCATGTTACCTCTCTGGATTACCTGGACTCCCTTTACCTCACCAGGCAAGTGGATGACCTGGTCAGTACACTGGGCAGGACTCGAGCTCTCCAGTTATTTCCAAGCCAAGCACTTTCAAGTCAGGTCAGCTCTTCACTGCAAGCAGAGAACTTGCAAGGCCGCAGAGCTCCTTCTTGGTCCTCATCCCGGTCTGTGTCCAAGGCCTGGACCCAAAGCAGAGACACCAAGTGAGGACCCAGGGTCTGACCAGGAAAGGATGGGCCCAGCGAAATGTGGGCCCAGAGAGAAAAGGAGGAACAGCAGTAGCCTGTGTAGACAAGTGAGTAGAGTACAGTCAGGCCACCCCTGGAGGCTGTAGGGTGTTGTCCATAACACACATTACCTCTTCGAACCCTCTACATTGCGTAGGTGGGCTACAACCAGAAAGGGCCTGAGCTATACGGCATAGGTGCCCCAAGATTCTCTCCTGAGGCCTATCTCTTCCCGTCTCATCCTGTCCTTGATTCCTTGTAATTTAACCCACACTCATGTTTTAATCCTCATATACCCAGAAATGCCACCTGCATTTCAACCCAGCATCTCTAACATTGGTCTTTTTTTTTTTTTAAGTGTTTATTAATTTTTGAGAGACAGAGCAGGGACATAGAGAGAGAGAGGACACAGAATTCGAAGCAGGCTCCAGGCTCTGAGCTGTCAGCACTGAGCCCAATGTGGGGCTCTAATTCATGAGCTGTGAGATCATGACCTGAACTGAAGGCGAACGCTTAACTGGCAGAGCCCCCAAGCACCCCTAACATTGGTCTTAATATTCCACTTGTGTTTATTTCAAAATCCCTTGTCCCTTGTCTTAACCCAGGAGTCAGGAACCTTTTGCTGTAAAGGGCCAAAAAGGGAATATTTTAGGCTTTGCGGGCCACACAGTCTCTACCAGTAGTCAACCCTACCATTGTGGTACAAAAGCAGCCATAAACAGTATATAAAGGAATGGTCACAGTCATTCTCTGATAAAACTTTATTAACCAAAATTGTCAACAATCTCAATTCATCCCAAAGGGTGGTGGTCTGCTAATCTTTGCTTAACATTCACCCAGTGTTTAAGCTGAACACCTGAGGGACATCCTGGGGGCCTCCCTCTTTCTCACCACCTAAATCAAAGTGACAACTAAGTTTTATTAATTTTATCTTAACAAATATCTCCAATCCTACCACTGTCTGTAGTCTGGCCTCAACTGTTAGACTAGCTTCCTGACATGTCACAAACCTCTCCCTTTCAATCCATCTTTCTCCCTTCCAACAAATATGTTGCATATAATTTTTATATCATTGCCTCCATGAATGTTAGCCAACAATTATTTTGTAGCCCGTAGGAGAAACTCCAAACCTCTTACATGACATGTGACCCTTGTGTAATTAGGATCCTTAGCCTTCTGCCCTCCCACTGCATCGCTCATTCCATGGCTTACAACCCACCTGCCGTTTCACTGGCTTGCACCTTGCTTGGACTATTCATGCCATTCCTTCTACCAGTGTCCTCCTGGGCTCCCCACACGGGTGCAGCTAGTTAACTCCAACTCACTAAGACCCATCGCGGACACTCAGTGAGCCATCATCCAACAGAGCCCATCTGTCTTCTTTTTCTTCTCCTGTACCTAATGCAAATCTCCCTTAGAGTATTCACATCATTTTATCACAAATATCTTTATATGCACTTTACATCCTTAACAGAAAGCACCTAGCTTGGTCCCTAGCACAAAGTACATGCTCACTAAATGGTCACTGATTTAATAAACAAATTAATTAACTGGTCAGTTACTGTATCCCAAGGTATACCCATGATGCCTTTGAATAGATAACCTGGTGGAATTCTGTCCACTTCGAAAGTGATAACAGCGAGGTTTAATTCATTTTGAAAATAATTAAGTACCTTAAATATTTCCCCTTTTCTCATCTTTCAAGTTTTTATAGCTGCATCTAGAATAGTCTCAATATGATTCCTATATTCACTACAAACTTAATTCATCATTTAAAGTATGTTAAAATATTGTATGTAAAAATATTACCACTATTATTATTACTTGAAAAATGCAAGATATTTTAGCAAAATTAACTTTATGCACACACTACACTGTATGCATGAGAAAGTTTAAATTCAGCTTTCTGAGTAGTTTGTAGGCTTGGTAATAAAGTACCAACTAGAAACATGTATTGTGAAGTGTACCTGCTTATTCTCCTATACTGAGCTTGGCAAACTTTTCTGTAAAAGGCCAGACAGTAAATATTTTAGGTTCTGCAGTGCATGTTTTTCCTATTGTGTATTCGTGTGTGTGTGTGTGTGTGTGTGTGTGTGTGTGTGCTTTACAACCCTTTAAAAGTATGAAAACCCAGGCCTGGGTGGCTCAGTCAATTGAGCATCTGAGTCTTGGTTTCAGCTCAGGTCATGATCCCAGAATCATGGGATCGAGCCCCGTGCCAGACTCTGTGCTGAGCATGGAGCCCACTTGGGATTCTCTCTCTCCTTTTGCCCCTCTTTCTGGCTCACGTGCTCTCTCCCTCTCTCTAAAACAGATAGATGATAGATAGATAGATAGATAGATAGATAGATAGATAGATATGAAACTCACCTTAGTTTTCATGCTATAAAAAATTTTTTTAATAAACTTTTAATAGAGCACTAGTGACCAGACAGATATTTTTTACAAGGCATGGTTTGCCAATCTCTGTTCTGTAACGGTTGTTTGCACTCCACTAATTATTTTGTTTTAGCATCTTTTTTATCAAGTTTTAGATGGGTCTTAAATAAATAAGTAGTGCATTCATACTTATATGTACATCAGGTAATGTAAATTCAGCTAAATTCTTTGACTCTCAACAGTCAATAGGACACAGCTTTATTTATTCTACTTTGTTTTTAATTTTAGAAGGAAAAACCAATACCTTATTGACCAGTTATCACAGTATGAGGGCAAACATGTGGTCTAAAATGATCCCAGGTTTTATTTTTTTTAATGTTTTATTTATTTCTAGGAGAGAGAGAGAGAGTCAGCGTGAGCAGGGGAGGGTCAGAGAGAGAGGGAGTCACAGACTGAAACAGGCTCCAGGCTCTGAGCTGCTAGTCAGCACAGAGCCCGACGCGGGGCTCGAACCCACGAACCGCGAGATCATGACCTAAGCGAA